AAATTATTTTTATTTTTAATTGTGTGCGCAAAATCAGTTATATGTTTATTTGGTATTAAATTTATTCCGCTTCATTACCTAGAGAATCTCCTAGAGATGCTCGGCTGGCCCGTGCGACCGCTAATGAGGCTGCTTTGCGACGGAAGTCGTCGACTGCGAAATTATAGCAAGCATCTATAAATTTCATCAGTCTTGGTGATTTCAGCTGTTCGGCAACAGGTATTGCCTCGTCGGCAGCTTCCTTCGTCTTCTCTACCTTTTGCTGCAAGGCGTTTGCCTTGATTATCAGCAGCATGCTAAGGAACTTCCAGATATTGCTATTGCAGTTTTGTGTTTCTATAAAATTATTGAAGATGTTAATAGAATTTGACAAAATTCAACATATTCTAATATTAAAGGCATATTTTAATATAAAAGTCACCTTTGATGGCTCTACGCGCATTTAAGCAGCATTCGTCGTAACGTAATTGGCTCAAATGAATGTCGCCTATCTGGTGGTATAGATAACATTTCTCAATCGAAAATTTGGCGAATCGAATACGTTTCTCCAGTCGAGATATGAGTTTTCTTTGGATTGCATATTATTATCATTATTATATGGAAGCTGTGTAAGAGTCCACTGTATCTTACCTTGACCTTATTGCAACCGGATCCTGATAATCACCATCTGTATACGTTGATCGATCGCCAAACACGAATGGTGTAGCTTCCTTGAATTTGTCCTTTGGCAGCAGGAGCATTTCAAGCAATGTTATTTTCGATTTTTTGATATCCTTGGGCGCCGAATACTGCTCGGCAAGTGCAAGGGCCACGCTATTGTAGACCTCGTTGTAGAACTCAAACTTCCAGCACATAACACGATTCGTCTTCGTCACATAGTAATCGCCCATGATTTTCTCAACATAGGAGGAAAGTTGCTAAGGTATATGTATATAGATATATGTATGCATAATTGAAACAGAATTTAGTTAAATATACATACTTTGACTTTCTTCTCCTTTCTCAGTTTATGAATTTGACGTAAATCATGAATCATATTACGATGCGTCTGATACTGAATGCGAAACAGGTATGCCTCCTTATTCTTTTCCAGCATTTTCTTATTCTTGAACTTGAGGAAGCTCACATAGTAAAGTGGACTGCGGCTATGAATCATTTTCTATAACGAGGATTCGATTTATTATATATTTAGACACTTTATGATTAATACTGACTATGAACCGTCGAACAACATCATATTGTTTATTAACCAGTGTTTCAAGAAACTGTCTCGAATTCTTGCATTGCCTTAGCAGCAAACTGGGATTTGTGCGTAGATTTTTCAGGAATAGAACATCGTACCACGACTCATTCAAATAAGTCTGATGGATAACATTGAAGGCGCGCTTTCGTCGAGCTATCTCCAAAGGAGACAAAAAGATTTCCTGTTTGTGCATGAAAGAGCATGAAATGGATATGAAAATGGTATATACATGATAATAGTTAAGTACAAACCTCTTCATCTGGTATGCTTTGTATATCACATTTTCCTTGTTCTTTCAATATCTTCCACTTCGGACGATCATCGACAATTTCACTCGCCCTGATCAATTCACTCACATGTCGCACCAGCTTCTGGTTTCTCAGATAGAATAAAGACAGAGCCTTGCCCGTAACGTCTCGAATTACATCGTCAATCTGTAAATAAGAGAATACACTTTTTGAATCCTTAAAACGATTTCGTGTTTTTTTCAAGCTTACCACGATGAGACGCTTCTCAAAGTTCTTGGCTTTAATACCCATGAATCGCCTTAAATTGTTATGCAGAGTGGCTTTGCACGTTTCGAACTTGTTGAGATTAAATAGACAGTCACATATTTGTAAATTAATCGGACAATTGGGTCCCACATCATTTAAGGCCATTTCTATTGAATATTCAAACGGGTGGAATATACTGCTGTCAATTCAATATCTAGATTTACCTTCAGCTGTAATGGCATCCAGTAATGCCGCCGGAATGTCTGCTGCTTTGCCCCTGGTTAAACTACGTCTGTACATCGTACTCCAATCATCGTTTTGCAGCAACAGCGCTTGGGTCAGGTAGTAAAGTGCAAAGTTCTCGCGACGCCGACTGGAGTAGTAAGTGCCCCAATCTCTATAGATATCATGCTGCACTTTAGCGCTCCAGTCAAAGTGCATCCATGCCGGCATAGCTTCTCCCTCTCCCAAGAGGGGCACATATCCGACAATTGAGGCCATGTTTTAGGAAATTTGAGGTATCAAGCTGACAAAAAATCAATCGAAATAATTGAATTAATTTAATTGATTTCATGGACTAGATCTCATCAGAGTTGAGTACTTTAATAAAAAAAAAAAAAATCCTCATGAATTATGTACTATTTCATTAAACTTTTATAAAAGACACTCAGTTTAAGTTCTTATCAATAAGACCATTCGCGAATCCTAATTAAAGTATTTACTTACTTTGCTAAAAATGCACTTTCATTAATTTGTACTATAAATTTGAAAAGATTCGTAAAAATGTAGGAAACGTAAAAGTGAATAAAACAAAATAATGAAATAAAGAATTAGAAAACAGCGCTGTTGCTCTACAACAAAATCAAAACAGAATAAATCAAACGCTATCTAATCAAACTTTAGAAAAACTAAAACAAAAACTATGCCTACTTATAAAAAAAAAAATAAATCATATTTGAATAAGTAATTGAGTACTTAAGAAAATAACAATAATAATAATGTATAAATCCAATAAAAATTATGTAGAAATTAAATAAAAATATAAAATGAAATGTGTGCGATTTCGATAATGGCAAATCGCCCTTAGCTATTACGAGATATATTAATCGTTGGACCAAACTCCCTTTTATGACATCATACCATTATCAAAACTAAATAGATTTTACATATTCTTCATTATAATGACTCTATTGTAGATATAATTTTATTTGCTATTTTGTATTATTACTCAGTTACTTTGGCAGGAGCGGACACTTTTAGCGTAGTTTCCCCTCTCAGCAATTTATGCAATAAATTAACAGAATAGAACACTTTGAAATTGAAATCGGAGAAGATCAGTCGAGTTTTACCTATGAAGAAAATTTTGTATAGAGTTTTTATAAAGTCTAAGGGAACCTCGTGGAATAATTTGTATTGCAAATATATGTATAATGCAAAAATAACATATAAATATCGTATGACATACATACAATATAATTCATAAATCTCTCAATTTATACCTATATTTGTGTAAGTGTAAAAATATTTTTCGAATGACTTCATATAGGAAAGTTCTGTCCGATTGCCATCGCATTATTTATTTAGCCATAAAAGTAAAGTTTTGAAATAAACGAGCTTTGATTAACGTTAATAATATAATTGCACCTCAATTCGTTTTACAAGCTGTGTGGACTGCGTGTTATGGGACAAGCGTGCACGGTTTCCGTTTCCGTTTCAACTTTGAATTCTGTCACACTTCAAATAAGCACCTTGCCATGCAAGGCAACCAAACATATTATTATTAATATTACTGAAAAAAAAAAGAAACACACACACTCACAAGTGAAAGAAAGAGAGTAATACTAAACCGCAACTCATGTGACAGAAGTGGCACAAACACACACATGAGCCACCGAAACCACCGAGCCACTGTGCCAGCGATTGGCTTTACAATAATAATTGTGCATGCCCAGTGGCTCAGCCAAGTGTAAGAAATCACTTAAAACACACAGCCCGGCAGAGGTTTCAGCTAGGGATTTTATACAGTGAGCCTCCCATCTCCCATCGCTCTAATGGTAAAATTTCAGCCACAAGAGCGACCACAAAAGGCCAATGATAAGTGTTAAGAGTCGCAGGCGTAGGCAACTCAACGCGCACATAAATCTAATGTATAATAAATTTAAATAGCGAATTCATGCAAAATGGCAACTCGAGTGTGACCAGACCCCTCCAAGGGGTCCGCCCACTTTTTGGCTGTCTCACGCACACACACACACATACACACACAGCTAAAGTGGAGGCCGACAATGACTACACTTTAGCGGCAAATTTGTGCGCATTGTCGCCGTATTATTTGCTATTATTTATGCCTTTTCCACTATTTACTTCCTCTTTTTTTTTTTTTTCATTTATATTATATTGTTGTTGTTTTTGTTGCTGCTCACACGCCATTGTGTTAGTATGCAAAAGTGGACGCGAACCACTCCCTATACAGTGTCTAACCGCAGCTTGCCATGGCCAGAGGCGTAGACAGAAATTCGTTTGGAAAAGGGCGTCAAGGAGAAAGAAAGAAAGAGAGAGAGAGAGAGCAAGCGGGTGACTCACAAATATCTTTGATTTTAAAGTGCTTTCTGTATTCGCCCAGGGAAATCTTAGGGAGATAAACAGATATGTCATTTAAATTGTATGTTTCATAGGTCTTTGGGGGAACCAGGCAAAAATTCAAGTCCTTCTATTATTATTCTTGGAAAGAAAAATGAATCTAAAGGAATTATACTGAGTCAATTAATAAAGATGCACTGGATGTGCCAAAAAATTATTAACTAATAAATAAATTATATACAGAAGAAAATAAATTATGACAGATGAGATGAGATAAAAGACAAAAGATAATAAGTGGAAAATAATAGATAAAAAGAAAACAAATAAATACATATAAGATAGAAGATGAAATACTGAGGTTAAAAAATAGGACATATGTATAATAAATAATAAAGGCGATAGAATATAGTAGATAATAGACAATGTTCTTGACTTTCACGTCTAGTCTATTGTTGCATATTTATATTTCAAGGAGTTGGCCCACAAAAATGCATTATATTCTGAAAGCCCTTCTCAAGTGTAATGTAATTATACTATATGAGTATATATTTCCCTTATATCTTAATTTCTATTCACTTGTATCGCATAAAGCACATTGTAAGTCGGACAGTCCCCTGCGTGCGTACGCCACTGTCAGCGTCCAGTGGCGTGCTAAGGATTTGCTCGCGTGGATTTTAAACATTTTCACACAACATTCTCATATTTAGACGGCACACATCAGCGACAGTCGAAAGCCAGTGCCCTGTTACCCCAACTGCTCAGAAAGTTGGCGGTAATGTAAGCTCCATAAGCCAAATAAAGGACACACACTAATAGCATGCAACACACGCGACCAAAGCGCCCCGAAACGTAAATCTGTGAAATGTAATTGTTGCCATGAAGAAAACGCCAGAGCCAAAGCCCGAGCCCGAGCTGGAACTCGAACTAGAACTCAAGTATGGCAAACTCAACCCCACAAAGAACTCAACCCACGGGGAGACCCAAACCCTGAGCTAAGGGCATTTTAAGTAAGTTTTGCTGGCACTCTGTGCCATATTCGCATTTTGATAATCGTTGGGCCTCCATCGCACTGCCTGCGCTGATATACAAATTGGCTTTTGCAATGACTTTATACATTTTACGAGCAACAGCCATTCGAGTGGGTTTTCATATATATACATATATATATACATTT